ATATATATATATATATATACACACACACACACGCGCGCGCGCGTTTCTATTGTGTGTGTGTGTGTGTGTGTGTGTGTGTGTGTGTGTGTGTGTGCACAGAATATTCAGCGTAACTATCCACGATTTTTTAGATATGTCCGGTTGAATCTTTAAGATGAATTCGATGCACTATCGAGAATGTTATCTTTATTGATGTTTTATTATTTAAACAATATAAGGGCTCGAAAAAATTAAAAAAAAAACGAAAAGAAAAGGGTTTCGAGCCAAAGGTTTATCGTTATAAATTAAAAATTAAAAATGTTAGTAAATAAATATCATTTAGTTAAAATGTAAAACTTTAATTTGCCGACAATAACAAACAAGACAAAAAACAAACGTTTCGATCCATATTGGATCATTATCAATGTTGACAAAAGCAACGATGAAAATATTTTATTATTGATTTTTTGCTTTTTATTGTTAAATATATTATTTTATCATATACTTTATACACATAAACACAAAATATATATCATAAATATCTATTAATAAAAAAAGAATATGGGCAGTATTCATAGTCCGTTCAAGATTGACTTAAGACTTAATATGATTCTCTGATTCGTAACTTCTTAAGCCTGTAGACGATCTTAGACGATCTTAAATATAAGATTTAACTATGAAGACTGGCTTACAGAAACAAATTTTATTGATTTTTAACAGATTTTATTGATCTTTAACCTATGGACGATTGTTTAGTCCATAATGTACGAATATAGTTCAAAATTATTTTCAGGATATCTTTGAAAATCATGTTACAAGTATATGGACTATAGTTTGATAATCGGCATTTTATTTTCTGGATTTATTTCCTATGGATTTTTTTTTATGGGAACATTAAAAATTTTTTATACATCATACACGTGCATCAATAAAAACACCGGAACATTTCGCTTGAAACATCAGACGCATAAATAAATATGCATATATAAAAATGCGTGCTAGTTAATAAAATTGAACAGTAAACGAATAATTATTTCATCTAATTGTTCATTAGTAATACTAATTAAATGTAATAAATTGACCAATTATATATAATCGGGAGTATTCTCTTCACATTTAACTGTGATTCATCAATTTTTCATAGCTCAAGGATTATTACACCTATTGTAAATCAGGAGTAATACAGAGGTAAAAATAAAAAATATAGAAGATTCCTTAAAACTCTGGATTATCCCTGATGTCTTTGAAAAACTTCTCCGAATGTCTTTGGACGCTCTAAAAAAAAAGAGTGTCCGGGGAAAAAAGAACGAATGGCTCCAATTGCAGAAGGATCCAAGCAATTTAAATATTTGTTTATATAAGTTAAAAATTAATAAAATTTGTTCACATAAATCACACAACCTTTCTTATTAATGAATATTTATGATACATATTGTGTGTTTATATATATAAAATCAATAAAATGTCAATAAAAGTGACATTCTCGATAGTGAATTAAATTCGTTGTGAAGATCATGATAATAATAGAGAAAAAATTATATGGTGCTATTTAAAAATTCAAAATGACCTTGACTTTTTTTTATTAAAAAAAATTAAATTTTTTAATTGTATGTTATAATCCGCATGAACAGATGAATATTCATTTTTTAACTTTTCTTTTTAATTATCGGAAGTATCTAAAAAATCGTTACACTGACATACACGCACGCACGCACGCACGCACGCGCGCGCGCACACACACACACACACACACACACACACACACACACACACACACACACAGTGTTCCGGAAGTTTTTGCCAATCGTTTTTGAGATAGAGCAGATTAAACTCTAAAAACGAAGCAAATGAACTCTAAGAATTTTTTCGGAATTTTTTATCAATTTTTTACTGTACTGCATTTTCTTATTTTGATCAACATGAGAAAATACGGTATTAAAAAATTCTGAAAAAATTCTCAGAATTTTATGAAAAGAAAATAAATGATTTTTGTCTCTTGCAGTTTTTCTGTAAAATTGATAGTATTTGAGTAAAAAATTATTAAAGACTAATATTTGATAATTTTAGTAATTAATATCTTGTTAACTATTGCAAAAATTGCAAAATGGTAGAGGATTTTTCGACTCAGTTTAGTCCACTCTACATAAAAACAATTGGTAAACTTTCGGGACATCCTGTATATATATGTGTGTAATATGTTTCTCGAAACAGAAATAAAGGGAAGACATCTATCATGAAAATTATGATATATAGAAGAACATACTTTGATGACCTCTCGAGTAAGCTTAAATGTTCTTGATTTTACTATCAATAAAGACATTTTTTAATGGAAAGAGGTATTTTTTAATCATTTTATCGATAGCTCAATCAGCTATATCTTTGTATTAGAATATTTCATCAAAAACTGAACTACTTTCGAGATATAAATTAAAAGAAGTTAGATTATTAAGAAATTAGTTTCAAACAAATTTTTTT